TACGACACTAAAAACAAATAAATAATTGAACTATACAAAAAAAAACATATAGAGTAATAACATACTGAATGATCTTGTGGATCTAATTGTGTATAGATAATTTGATGTTGTGTTGTATTTGTTTCAAATTTTGTCCAACGTTCATTTATTAAATAATCATCATCATGTTCATTAATAGTAATACCTGTTCGTCGATCCGAACTAAAAAATAATCGTTCACCTGAGTGTGTATTGACAAGCATATGTTCAAGATTACGATTAACATGATCTGTCCATGGATATTGTAAAATATTTTTTGTCAATAAATTTTTATTAAGACGTTCAATAGGACTAATTTTTAATTCATTTTCAACCCAATTACGTGTTACTTCAAGACAACGAAGACCATCTTGTAAATTATGACATGAACAATGATGATTTGTTTTACATGATTGAAGACAACGTGAATGACTTGGAATACAATGTGATGGATTTAATGTAGAACGAATAAATGATGCTGGACATACACAATGATGTGAATTACTTGTTTTTACACAAGCTACCCATGGATCTACCTAGAAAAAGAAATATGTATAATATTGAAATCAATTTAATTTTGACATACATGATCTTTAGATGATAATCCTAAGCTAGATTCGATTCGTTCGTCTAATAATTGACGGCATGTATTTCGTCGTGTAACTGTGATAACAAGAAGTGCCGTACCAATAATAAGAAGTGATACCAATAAAATTGGATAAAGATATGATGTCAATCGTAATAAACGAGGTTTAAGTAAATGTTTATCATCATTATAATCATTATCGACATGCATTTGTAATTTTTTATCACCAGAAGACGACGACGGAGCAGCAGGAGGAGGAGAAACGTTTGAATCCGAGGTCATTGTAAACGACTGATATACACACACTTGATACGAATCGATACAAGAGAAAAATGAAATAAACAAATCTTTTGATATGCATTTAAATAGTATATAATAGAAGAAGAGCGGCAGAGAGAGAATTATAGACTATTTTGAAAATATACATAGAGAATTAACACAAAAGATGTTAACTGTTTACTAGATGAAATCCAGTTGTAAGTTAAATCGATAGAAGAAGAAGAAGAAGATAACAAAGAAAAAACGCGTGTTTCATATATTTACATACAAGTTCGATATAACTGGAACTAATTAATAAATATATGCTATTTATAAAAGAATAATCGATTCAATGAGTTCCATATTTTATCAAAGTAGAATTTAATTTTATTGACTAAGTATTTAATACTCCAATCGTTGTGTTGATAAGGCAAACTTTAATAATAATTTATGACGTCATTCAAAACAAAAAAAACTAATATATATTTTTTGCCTACGTGCTTCTCTTTTAAAAAGAATAGTCAATCAATATTCTAGTCATTGTTTATTTATATAAATTAAAGCATAAATAACCGACATTTTGTTTCTGATATAAATATAAGTCTTAATATTATGAATTTCCATTTAAACAAATCATTTAGTTATTCACTGTCTTTTCTTTTTCTTATCTAAGCTTATTACACAACATTATTTCTGATTGAAACAAAGACTTAATTATTATGATAGTTTATAGACAACTAACGAATTCATGAGAATGTAAAATAGATGCTAATCGAAACGCATGAACAATCATTACATGACTTGTCAAACATATAAGATTGCTTAGGTTTCATATGGTGTTTCCATATGTTCGCTGTCAATAATTCGTCGAGATACAAACGGATCTCGTCATCATATTATAATATATATATATCTATACAGATACATGTATTCGAATCGAAAATGGAAAATAATGTTAAGATGACAGATGAGAAAAAGAAATGTCGAGGTATTATTGATAGTCATTTGCAGAGAAATGAGAGATATCAGAAAATAAGACGATGGATGACTTTTTACACGTCTTATTTCCGCTATCAGCAGCAATAGCAGTATTAGAAGAAATAATAATATGTATGTAACGAGTACTGTTGATTTGTTTATTCGAATCTATTGCTCTCTCTGTCTCTATGTCCTTCCTTTTTTTTTCTTTTTCTTCTCTTCATCAAACAGAGATAGATCTGGATCAGTAGATGACACATGTGTATCTCTACATATATGCATGATAGTTGTATGCTCAGTTGATAATATTTCGCGATTGACATTTTCTTTGCTCACATGCTTCTCTTTTTTTCTCTTCTAATAATATATATATATATACATATATCTAGATACAACGATTTATTGATTCGTTGATATCTCTGTTTCTTTTACTGTTGTTCTTGTCACTGTTAACGACGACAATGATTAATCATCTTGGTGAAGCAATAGGACCTTTGTTTTACTGAACAGTTGTCATTCTTGTTATTATCCCTGCGGCAAATAGTTTAGCGTTATAGTCTCATTGTCACTATATGAAATATCGGAAAAAAAGAATCGTAAAATGTCAAGCTTCCCTTGATTCCTCTCTTTTTTTTTTCTTTTACTTAAAGTATAAAGCCTTTGGGTGTTTCACGTTCACATTCAAATGATGACAAATGACGATCGTCAAGGAATAGTAAATATTACGAAAAAAAATTATCTTTTTCTTTTTTTTTTTTTTTGTATTCCTTTTATCCGTTCTATCTTTTTGACACATTGAAAATGTGCATCTACGTTAATCAGTTGAAAGATACTATTATGCTCGAGAGTTCGTCAAGGTAGTACCGGAAAGAAAAACGACATTAACATCATTGTACATTTGTCTTCATTTATTTTTTCTTTGTATAAAATTCTATTCATTAAAAAAACTGTGACCTCGTTATAGGGAATATTCAATGCAATCATTTCCCACAAGTAGAATTGTCTCAAGGAGTCATTATTTCAAGTTACAAACAGATGCATCAACAAAACGTGACTATGTCATACTTAGTAGTGTTTTCTAATGCTTGTGCTTTTTTTCTCTTTTTTTTTCTTCATCGTCTTATCTTTCTCGCTCTTTTACTTAATAGTTATTCTACCATTACATCAGTCAAACGAATGATGATGTTTTAGTAAATAGTTAGAGATTATCTTTTCTAGTAAAAACTTTCATGTTCATTTAAGAAAAATATGTCAGTATTTTAAAACGTATGTACTTTCATCTTTTTATTTTCAGCTTTCTTTTTTGCTTTTATATTAGCTCGTATTTTTGTTGTCTTAATAGACGGATTGATTGCTCGTTCATCATGCTGAATATTGATGATTAGAAACAGAGAAAAGAAGAAAGGGGAAAAAAAAGCGGAAAGAAAGTAAAGATTACTTAGTTTATCGATCGAGTGTTCGACTCTTGATGTCTTCTTCTTTTTTTTTCTTCTCTTTTTTCTATATTTCCTAATTAATAACGAGATGCAGATTCGATCTTCTTGTCTACACTACGACTGACTTTAGATTGTCTGTTGTGCAAATGTAAAGAAGTTATATTATCCAGTAGAGAAAGAGAGCATAAGTTCTTTGACCGAGACAATGAGTAAACATAGATAGGATTGGTAAGGTCATACATGGATAATAGCTTATGTCACTTAATGTTCATTTCTTCATATAAATATCCATCTGGCCATTTTTACTATCTAGTCTGACGTATTATTCTAGTTTCATATTGGCGACAACTGTTGATGTTTACTTGACATATTCTTTCTACCATCACTATCTCAAACATCGTTTAGAAAGATAAAAAAATCCGCAGATGTAGAAACAATGAATTGATAGTGCTTCGGATACTTTGATCAATGAAGAAGAAAATTGTATACAATTATTAAACAAATTGTAGTGTATATCATATAATCTTTCTTTTTTTATCTTCATATATTGTTAGACAACATTAGCTATTTTATTTTCAACAGCCAGTATTTTAGTTTCATTTTAAATATTTGTTTTCCCCGCAGTCATAATATTTTCTTGTAAAAAAAGAATCCATGAATATAATGTTAATATCCCGGATTTTTTTTTTCATTATCTTTTTATATATTAAGTAATAATAGTTACCTGTGTAACGTCATATAATAGAGCACATGTCAAATAATAAAAAGGTTGCAGTAGAATAGCAACACAAATGTCGATGATAATGATACCCTCTTTCTCTCCCACGCTAATCGTCTTGATATGTGCCTATTCCGAAGATATATTCTTTTCGTTTTTTAACGCCTAACAATCATTGCTCAAGTTCTATTATGAGATGAATATAACATCTTATAAGCGATTTACACTTCTCATCATTCACTGACGATGAGATGAGATGAGATGAGATGAGATGAGATCGATCAAAAAGATAGAAGTAAACACGTAGTGTATGCATGCGCAAGATATTGGTAGCGCACTTGCTTGGCAGTTAGTGTCACTATCTATAGGAGCCGCAGGAAGACAGCAGGAGAGAAAGAACGTTACCAAATTGAGACAAAAAAAGCGAAAGAGAAGGAGAGAAGAGAAGAGAAGGAACGATAGAGAGAGACAGGAAGACAGAATACAGTGTGGAAGAAGCACAAAGAATTTCATTAGTGACAACGCGTAAGATGCGCGCTGCCAGTATTTATATGTAGGATCGAGAGCGATCGAGGAGAAAGCTATGGTATTGTTCGCATCTTCTCAAAAATGCGCAATTGTGCTTGCATGCGTTGATAATAATAAGACGACGGGGACCGAAAACAAATCAAATGTAGCTATTATTTACTGCGGTTCATTTGTTTATGTTTTTGCAAAAGAGAATTCTGACTACTTCTTCTTTTTGCCTGCTCTCAACTTCCATTCAGGATTATATTAATAGGTTCTTCTAGTCTATTTCCCTTTTTCTTTCTTCTTCTTCTTATTTATTATCGTCATTCTATTCAAGATAAAATAAATATAAAAAAAAAAGATGAACAACTAGATACCAATTTATTTTTCTTCTTCAAAGCATACCTTTGTATGTCGACATTCACAGAAATTATCTAGTGCCGGTCTGGCTATTAGTCTTTTGCATTTGCTATTACTATTATTTAACACCGTCCGCATGTCGCGCGCTATACAACGTCTTATGAAAGATTATCGTAAGGCGGAAAAGTTGGTAGGGCGTTCATCAAATGAACCATTTGCTGATTTTGCTAATGCAGCTTCATTTACAACACAAACATACGCACAAACAATGGCACAAATAAGACGTGATCCAGAATTAACTCAAGATGAAAAAAAATATCTTGTGGCAGTTGAACGTAAGTTAAATCTATTTCATCTAAGCATACTATTCTATGATACCATCTTGTGCATAATCAATGAATTCTCTTAAGTAGATCTCTCCGACATACATCATTAAATAAAGAATAGACAAAACAAAACAAAATAAAATAAAATTTATATTTGTAATTAGTAGATAACATAGATATGCTTCAAAATGCCTTTAGGCAAGAAAACATTAAGCATGGAAATTATATTAGAAAAGTATTTCACCTAAAAAAAAGAAAGAAAATACAAGAGAGACTCATGGAATTTTTTTCTATCTTTAAAAAAATAGAAAGGATAATGATATAAAGAATTAGTTGTTGTAACCATGCAAATAAACAGAAGCTAACATATGCTTTTGCATTTCTTGAATATTTCAAGAGAACAGTACGATTAACGATATTTGTGTTTATAGGTGGTGATATGGCGACAACTCGTCGCTATCTTGATATCGCCTCTCGACAATCAACAGTTTTACTTGATGATGACATATCACATACACCAATCAATATTAATTGTCTTGATCCATTAGGACGAAGTGCACTTTCAATAGGTTCATATTTAGAATTTTATTTAACAACGAAATAAAAAAAACGAATCTTTTATATTTATCTAGCAATTGAATATGAAAATATTGAAATGATTGAATTATTACTTAGTTATGATGTTGATACGGGTGAAGCATTACTATTTGCAATTGATGAACAATTCGTTGAGGGTAAAATAACTATTAGTTTATAGCTCATTAGATAATCGATACATATAATCATATTCTTGACAGCTGTGGAATTACTTCTTCAACATGACGACCTAAAACAACAACAACAACAACAAACGCAACCGAGGAACACTATCAGCGAAGATAATACTAGAGTAAGTCAATTGTGCTTTTTGTTTATTAATGATAAAGGACATTATGTGTCTGTTCTGTATCATAGTTTGATAGATTTTATCAGCACTCAATTTGTTATTATAACCTAGATTTTATTTCGATGCTCAATTATTTCTTTTGAGGTCATATTAAAATTATTATACAATACTATGAAATCAACATAGTGAAATTCTAACCTTAGTTATGCTCATAAATAGTTTTCTATTTCATATTAATTATTAATCGAATAAATTGTAGTAATTTATAATTAGTTATATAAATTTATGCAACATAAAAGAAAGAAAAACAAAAAGAGAAAATATTCTATATGAACTAATCAATTATGTAGACAAAAATTAGATCAAAGATTCATATTTATTAGCTATATTTTTGTTTTATTTTAAATTTAAGTATTCAAATAATACGGGCATAAGTGATAAATCGAATCCATTATTCACTTTGGCTCAAGATGAATTAGAAAAAGAGAAAAAAGAACAACCACCAACACATGATGTTTCTCAGAAGGTAAGCGGTAGTTTTCTGTACGAGTCTTTTTGATTTCGTGTGTGTTAAATTAACGCATGCTATATATAAATGTATGTGTCGGGAGTATAGTTAAAATCGGCTTGGTCTTATATTCGTCCATCGAAAGCAAATTTGGCGTTAAACGATGATGGTACAGGTGATGGCACTGAGGTGGGTACTATTATTATATATAAAACAAAATAAACCATTCAATTAACAATATACAACCTGCCTTCTATTTATTCCTCATATATATATGCCAATTATTTTTTTTATCCGATTGATATCAGCTATCTACTGCTTGGAAAACACCACGGATCAATTTATATATATATATATCGATATATGTATATATATATATATATATATGTAGATCGTTTACTATATAATACTTTATGCTTATTGTATTTATTTTGTAGTTCAGATAACACTTCATGCATGTATAATCCTTGATTATCTCATAAGCAAATCCGATCAATATATTATCATTTTTCTTTTATCAATTATTTCCAATATATATATATATTTATACCAACATACATCATACCTATATACAAATATAATTTTTTTTTCTCCTTCTCTTTGTCTTTCTTGTTTCGTTCTTCTTCTTCTTTATGTTCTTTGTTTTTAGAATCCGAAATCTAAATGGGCATTTCTACTACAGGCAGTACGAAAAAAAGAGCAGCAGCAATCGGTAGGCGTTCATGCCCGTTAAAGAAGCGAGAAATCAAACTATCGTCTTCTCTTTTTCACTCTTGGCGTGCATGACATAATTGATTCATATTTTGATGATTGTCGTTGCTACTATCACTCACATCCATAATAATACACACACCCACACACGCAAGACAAGCTCTTTGCAAGAAAAAAAAATTATAT